TGAGTTCTGTCAGAAAGAGGATTAGTCGACTATAAAAGCTTGTAGTCGACTACTAAGAGTTAAGAATGAGATGTATATAAATTATTTTGAAAATCATTCTTTAACTATGACTCCTAATGGTTAACATAGGAGATTTCTATAGTTAACCACACACTAAGCATGTGTTAGTGTATACTAATGCTATGTGTGTGTATGTGTTGTGAGTGATCAAGGCTTGTACATAAAATCTAAGTAAAGAAAAAGAGAAAATTTACATTTTGACATATTGCATTTTTTTTTTCTTCTTTGCTCCATGTTGCCTTGAACTCATTCTGCACTTTATTCTCATATTTGGATCGTATATGATGTAAATAGTTGCATAGATATGTTAGTGCATAATAGATAAATTGTTATCATCAAAACTATATATTTGGGGCATTATTATCCAACACAAACTGCGCGATCAAACCTTTGAACAGTTAGGGTCGTCTCAAACCCTATTTGGTCAAACAGTTGAATAATTAGGGCCAAAACCGGAGTTTCCTTTCTATAAACGAGAGTTCTCCACCCAAATTGAGCGATCAAACCTTTGAACAGTTAGGGTTGTCTCAAACCCCACTTGGTCAAACATTCCTACAGTTAATACCAAAATTAAAATTCCCTCTCAATAAACGAGAGGTCCACCTTCAGATTGGGTAATCAAACCTTTGAACAATTAGGTTATCCGTATCTTTTTGATTCTCAGAGTAGAGATCCCACTCTTAGTTTCACCTTGCAGATTCTCAAAGTAGAGATCTCACTTTGAGTTTCTTTTGCAGCAGGAGATAGAATATAAAATTCTTCCTCTCCGGCATCGGGTTCGTCTTCGTCCTAAGAGAAGACAAGCAGAAGATAGAATATAAAATTCTTCCTCTCTGGCACCGGGTTTTTTTTTACCCCAAGAGAAGACATAATCTTTTAACATCCAAAATCCATGTCTCACATGCATGAGAAACTTTATCTTGATCCCTAATTAGAGATAAGTCTGCATCTAACACATGTTGTCGGGTGGTCCGTTCTCGCAAAAATGACCAAGTCTATGTATTCAACATCGTAGCGATAAAAATCCATACCTCACTCACATGGAGGACTTTATCTCGATCCCTAATTAGAGATAAACCTATGCCTAACACGCGTTGCCAGTTAGTCTTTCACGTAAAAAATAACAAAGTCTATGTATTCGATATCATAGCACTGAATCTAAAAGAGTTCATTCTTTTAGCACAACGTTACATGTAGAACAGACTTAGACAACCTACATGCTAGCCCGACTCAAACAGTAGTCGGTAAAGGCTTATCAAATCCATTGATGGCTGAGGATTTGCTACAAATCCTATTATGCTTAGATATGCTCTTCTAGCTCGGAGAGCTTCTCTTCACAAAGTTTGTACAAGCTTCATCTCCAATCATCTTTAATAGTTATTGACGCACCAGCTTCATCAGTTAGTCTCGTGACTCGGGCACCTTGAGATGTTCGGTAGCCTTTGAAATTGTAGCCGTATCAGCATTTACAGTTGATCCTACAATCAAATCTCACACAAAGAGCTCAACCTGGTGAGCGTTTGATGTATTCTCAGCTTGCTCTTCCCAAACTTTGATGCGTATATGAGTATAAATTGATTCTCTACGCTCCAACACCTTAAGAGCTTAAACTGTATAGACTCCAGTTAACGTATGAGTATAAATTGTATATATTCACGCCGCAACGGAGGTTAACGTCGGTCAACGCGTCAACAATTTCACCGAAATAAGGCTCAAGATAATTTCCAGATTAAAATTATCCTTGGGAGTTCAATCGTAATTCAGATACAAACTCTCGACGAAGATAATCGATTCGACGTCAACTCGACGACACGAGCTAATTCAAGTATCAACACACCAGTTTCAGTTCAAGATTTTGACAACGGTCAGACGATAAACACAGCACCTAAAGAATTTCAGACTATTCAACAAAAAAATACTGAATAGGATGTAAGCTGAAGAAGTCAAAAAATTAAAGGTTGTGCCTATCTTATCCAAAATATTCCAGACTCTTCTATAAAAGAATGAGGCTGGAACACTTTGGAGGGGGTATCTGTAGGCGTTAAAAATTACCTATAAGTTCACGAACATAGATCAAGATGAAGAGAAGACGATTAACGTTGATATCCAAGTCAAAGAGGATCATCTGACGCCAAAACGAAGCGATGAAGTGACGAAGAAACAATGAGATTTAGAATGCATGATTTGAGAAGAAAATGGATGCACGAATATAAAAAACTAAAATTTTGACCATGATACAATTTGAATCCAAAAAATCTCAAAAGCTGTAGGTTTCTTCATCAGCTTTTCAACACAACTTGAATCACCTCATTCCGAGGTCAGATAAAAGAATTAAAGCCAAAATACCAATAACAGTACAAACTATCTCGGATTTCGAGACGGTGTTTTGTGTCTCGGAATTTGAGACACGATAAGGTGTCTCACACGTGTGAGACACAATAAGGTGTCTCACCCCGACCTGTCCTCACAGAATGAGGCTCTGAGACGCGTTTTCGACGGTTTTTGATCGGTTTTGACGGGTCCAATGGCCTCCTAACTGCTTTGGGAATATCCTAAACGCGGGAAAATCATTTCTAACTAAAGATAAGACTAAATCACGAGATCTCATCCACAAACATAGTGTTCAAGTCCTATAAATACCCCCATCGTGCATTTATGAAGGGGACTGATGAGATCTGAGCTCTTAGGCGAGTTGCTGACGTTTTCTAGAGCAGAGCCACGAATTTCAGAGAAAGAGAAGAGAGGTTTTTGGCGATTTTTTTGAACACAAAGGAAGAATTTCGAGAGATCCAAAGCTTTTCACACCTTCCCTTGAGACCAAACCTTGTTTTGATCTTGAGAATAGTAGTAATCCCACTTTGTTGAGGTTATTCACTTCTGTTCTAAGTTCCCTCGATTGAAATAAAGAACACCAAGCCTTCTTTCAAATCAACCCGGATCTATTATTCGGCGTTCCATGGGCTAACAAGTCCCCGGCACATGCAAAGATCCCACGCAAGCATCGACCGATAAACGATCTATGCGTGTGTTTTTAGGAAGTCTCTGTTTGTTTTATTTGTGTAGAGAAGTATTATAAAAAGGCTAACTCTTTTGAATCTGTCAACGATAAACGTTGTAAATGGAGTCCACAATGAAAAAGATTTTCGACGCAAACAGTTGGTTTTGAAGGTTATAGGTTGATTGTTAATGTTACGAGTTGGTTGTGAAGGTTACGGGTTTATTGTTAAGGTTACGGGTTGGTTGTGAAAATCTCTAGCATATTTGAGAAACCAACCAAACAGGTCCTAACCAAACAACTCCGAAATAAGTTTTCTTAGAAATAAGTTTCCTATTCTTTGATTTCCTTCTTTTTTTTAGCCAAACAAACAGCCCCTGAAGAGCGGACGCCGAAGTATAAGAAGTCAAAGAACAATAAAGAATCTTTTTAAGGCATACTTTACTTGTTTTTCAAGAGTGGGGCGTCAGGAAGCCGCACGTGGGGCTCATGTTGTGATGTGAGAGGATGGACAGGCACTCGTCGTAGGTTATTAGGGCCCAGAAATGAAGATGTGCTGTTGGCGCACCACGTTTTTCGAGGCGCGACACTTTGTTGAAGTAATCGCCTAGAGAGGGAGGAGGTTTATTGTTAAGGTTACAGAGAAATGGTACTCTTTCCTTAAATTCGAAGCAAACCCTTTCTACACATTAGGAACAAATTAAGCATACTGTTTAATTATTTTAAGACTAACTGAGATGCAGAAGTCAAAATTTATTATTCCTTCTCGGTGCTAAATGAGATGCATAAGTCAATTTTTATAAGTTCAAACTTTCCAGCTCACCAATAATCTTTATATGTACGAGATTGATTAACCTTCACAACCGACGCTTATCCTTAACAACCGACCCGTAATCTTAACAACCAACACTTATCCTTAACAACCGACCTGTAATCTTAACAACCAACCCGTAACCTTCACAACCAATGCGTATCATTAACAATAAACTTGTAGCCTTAACAATAAACCCGTAACCTTCACAACCAACACATAATCTTAATAATAAACCCGTAACTGCACTAAAATGAGTGTAATTGCAACCAAATTTTATGGTGAAAATTGCATGAAAATAGACTAAAAATAATTAATTTATTTTTAATAGCTTGATAACATAGTTTGAGAGCCTGTTATCCAAGCATTGTACTGCAACTATAACTCTTATAGTTAAAACATTTAGACGGTTTCATCAACTATGAACAACCAAAAACCTGATCAGGATTAGTCTAATCGATCATCATTATTTGATCATTATAGGCGTAGTTCAACAACCTCTCAGCAACACTAATGGCGTGCTTCTTTGCAATCATAACTCCAATAGGGATTGCAGTAGGAGCAGGGATATCATCGGTATACACGTTGGTTGTCTAATTTATACATTTCCTGTTAATTTATTTGGTTAACGGTTTAGTTGTTAAGGTTATAGGTTGGTTGTGAAGGTTACGGGTTGGTTGTTAAGCTTATGGGTTGATTGTGAAGGTTACGGGTTTGTTGTGAACCTCAATAACCTTCAAAACCAACACGTTACCTTAATAACTAACCCGTAACCTTAACAATCAATCTGTAACCTTCACAACCAACCCGTAACATTCACAACTAACCCGTATCCTTCACAACCAACCCATTCCTTCAATATAAATAACCCACTTTCCTCCCTAAACCCAATCTTCTCTCCTTCACCCCATCAATGGCTGTTGATCTAATGAACTTCTCAAAAATGGACGATCGGATCGCGATCAAGGAAGCAGCCATCGCCAGCCTCCAGAGCATGGAAGTCGTTGTCCTCACCCTCGGCCATCAATCTTTGTCGTCTTCTTCCTTCAACTTCTCGACCATCGCCAACAACACCGCCTCCAAGTTCAAGAAGTTCATCAATACCCTCGATTGAATGGGCCATGCCCGGTTCAGATGCGGCCCGGTCCAGCCTCTGACCGAATCCTCGTCTCCACCACTACCGGTGACTGTAGCTCGACCAGCTCTGATTCCTCCTCCAGCGGTGAGTTTCCCACCTCGAGGGCTCACCCCTGACTTCACCAACCCAAACCCGGTGTTGTCAGTGACGAGGCCACCGGAATGGATGATTCCACAAGCTAAGGACGTACTGCAAACGACTAGATCAATAGGCCGAGAGCTCAATAGGGGCGATACAAGGAAGGCGGAAGTTTGAAGCCATGAACAAGGATTACACCTGAATTCTCCTCAAAATTAGAAAATCTCCCAATTTCTCCGAGTTTTTATCAAGACTTTACACACAAACACGCAATGAAAATATCCGATAGAGAACATAAGTAGACAATGGCAAGCCGACGAGGCCTCGAAGATTGATGGCCGAGCTACAGTCACCGACGGTGGCGGAGACGAGGATTGATGGCCAAGCAGTTGATGCCGTACTCGAACGGGGTCCCGGAGGAAGGGGAGTTTGAGGAAGAGAAAGAGTATTATGATCTTCACATATTTTCATTACTTGGGTTTTGTGTTTTGGGGGCTCAGGGAATTATCGCTTTATTTTTGGGGTTTTTGAGAATGTTAAAAAAGTGTTGGGAGTGGGTGGAATAGTTGTAATGAAATTGGGGGCTAGAAGTAATTTCCCCTTTGGAAGGGGTTTCATTAGGGGTGGGCAAAAACCGAAAAAAATCGGTTCAACCGGAAAAACCGCCCGAAAAAACAGACCGGTTAACCGAACCGAATTAAATGGATGGGAAGAAGTCTCTAAACCGCCCGAACCGAATTAAATCGGTTTGGATCCGGTTTGAACTCCTGAACCGTCCAAAAAAAACCGACCCGAATTCTGTTGGGCGGTTTAGAGACTAAACTTATACCTCAAAACTTTTCTTGTTATCATCCAATAGATTCAAACGGCGCAAGGAGCAGTTTCAAGTAATGAGTACAGCAACATCACAAAAAAATATCCTTGAGAACTAAGTAAAGATTCAAATCAATCCAGAAAATTTGTTATGCACATGATGCACTTACAAAATATGCATATGCTACATTATATAAACAATATCATACAAAACATCACTCCCCCGTGTAATTAAATAAACTTAAACTTTAGTTAAAAAATTTCGCAGAAAAGATCTTGAGAATTACATAAGATTCAAATCAATCACAAAATGTGTTATGTACATGATACTTACAAGAGATAAGCATGCTGTATTATATGAACAACATCTTTAAAACATCAGTTCTCTACGTAATTATATTAACTCAAAACTTTATTCTAAAGATGATAACCAGTCTAATAAAGCTTTGTTAGCGAGCTCAGGAACCTCATCATGAGGACAATGCCCACCTTGCAAATTCACAACAGAAGTCTTTGGATAGAACTCTTTGCAAATTCAAAACTGAAACCGAACCGAACCGAATTTCGGTTGGGCCGAATATTCGGATGAAGGGGAAAAAATCTGGATCTGGATGGGAGTTTTGAGAATCCGAAAAATTCGGATTGGATGCGGATTGAGCATAAAACCGAACCGAACCGAATATGCCCAGCCCTAGGTTTCATATTAGTTCCTGAAGTCTTACTAATTGCTTATTAAGCTCTAACAATACCAAACTCCCTTGCACAAACCACCTAGATTTCTTGCTCCCTTACCACAGCCCGATATTCACTTCACATAAACCCAAAATGGTCTGCAAGTATTTGGCACATCCCCTCGCCTCTTTCCGACGCTCCCCTGTTCTCCTCCGCTACCCGGTTCGAAACCCTAAACCCTCAATCTCAAACCCGACCCGTTTCGCATCGGCATCGCCAATACCGATACGACGACTCCTCGGATCTCAGCGGGTACTTCCAGAAAGTTCGAGACTGCAATCGTGGATCGGTAAAAAACTCTTGACCCGTTTATTTTGTCTGGGTCGGATAAGGTTTTCCGTCGGATTCTTGATGGTTGATGATAATGTGAGCAGGAGTTGATATCGGAGTTCGTGCCTTTTGTTGTCGAGGATCAAATTGTTGGATACATACACAAGGGGTAATATTTTGAGGGTGTTTGCAATATTAATCCCTTAAAATCTTTAATATTTTGAAATTAGTCGCTCAAAAAATTTGAAATTGCTGTTAGGTTACCCAATTTTGAAACAACGTGTAAGAATTGGGGGACCTTATATAGCAATTCCGACGATTTGAATTAGATTTTGAAACAAGTTATAGGAAAACATGATGACAGTTCCAATTATTTGAGGGACTAATTTCAAAATATTAAAGATTTAAAGAGTATATTGCAAAGACCCTTTTTTTGTTTCTTTTCATCTTGTTGTAATTGTTGGATAAACCTTTGTAGTGGCTGATGGCTGTGTAGCATTTTTTTAACAAATGTTTTTTGTGATTTTGACCATCGAAGTACTTCTAATTTGTACAAAATGGCGAATTGGAGAAAATTGTCCGCAATGCTTCAATTTGCAAATGAATATTTGGCAGACTAAAGAATTTAATGTGAATGCTCATAATCATTTCGTTTAATATATTAATACAATTTTTTTTGTTTCTTTTAAATGATCTTCCTGATCAAATTTGAGTGAATAGTTAGATGAATAGTTACCGAACTATTTGATAATTATTTGATCAGGTTCCGCGCCCTACAAATGTCATAATAATTAATAAAATTACACAAGGAGAATTATAACTTATGAAATAATATTGTTTCTCAATTAGTGTATTCTTATCTAACATGGTCTTTAACATATCTTAGCTTTATTAATTATTTGAGGAAATTCGAAGACGTCTTCAGTGTTGTGCTTAGTAGAAATGGAACCCTTATTGGTGGCCATGTCACACTTCACTCGTCACTTAAAACTCCAGAGAAGAGAACCGAAGCAGTTGGAGATGTCATCAAGCAGTTAGGAAATCTCATTCCAGGTATTCGCAATGAGGTACTGATTATTGTTGCTTTGCATGATTTCAAGTTTCGTTTTATTTTCATAACTTGTCATATTTAAAACTAAACACTTGTCTATGTTGTAAAATATGTTATATGATGTCTTACATGAAGGACTTGCAAATGTGGATGATCTTGTTAATGGTCTATACACCAGTTTTCAACCTCCTGACTGGGAAAACAACTATAAGTGTTCATTTGATTGAAAGTTGTTGTATGGACATTTTGTAAGATGACTTCTGACCTAAGTACCAATCATTATTAAAAAAAAACATTTGGCTTAGGAGTTATTTATTCCTATGCTTGCTTCTATAAAGTTTTTGTGAGGATGATGATCATGTCTTAGACTTGTGAAAATTACTACACCTTCTGCATCTTGTTTGCTGCTGTTTCTCATGCCTTGCTAATATTTGACTATGTTGATACAATCAGCTATACCCTGTGACATCATCATTTGGGATGCCTACACTCCTCTCCCTAGAACGTGCAGCTGCTCCTTATTTTGGCATAAAGGTTTGTGTTTATCAACACAGCATAATTCATCTGTTATTAGTACATGATTCACATCATCTTTTTCCTTTGTTTTTTGGTTTTGAGATAAATTTGTTTGGGTAATCAATCAGACTTGCAAATTTGAAATTTAGATTATTCAAAACAGGGTGGCTGTTAAATTCATGTCACTAATGATGTTCGACATATTTTCGTGGTGCCATAGCTCTTTCATGTTTCTCTGGATAATTTATGATTGCCGTTTATACCTATTTAGTGATTGATGTTTCCCATACCATTTATTTGTGCTTCAAATACAGTTCTCATAAGCTTGTTAATGGAAAGAAAATGATTCTCCATCTCTTTCTGTTCCCTTACAGGCTTATGGTGTCCATATGAATGGGTATGTAGATAGGAACGGGGGAAAATTCCTTTGGATCGGAAAGAGAAGCAATATGAAACCAACTTATCCTGGAATGCTTGATCATCTTGCTGCTGGTGGTCTGGTATGTTGCTCTACCCTTTTGTAACTTTGTTGCTTGCATATCTAAGCATGTGTTTGGGTTGAGATAAAGAGATGCGAAGTTTTCAAATGCCTACATTACCAGACTCTTCTCTCTCTTATTATATATGCCAAACTGCTGCATATGCTTTCTTGGGGTCTAGATCAACTCTATAATACTGTGGATGTTTTGGATCAAGCTAAGTACTATTATTGTGTGTGTTTGCGTGTGTGAACACATATGCTCGTGTCGGTGCATGTGCGCGGGTGGGATGTGGATAAGTAAGTTAAGTGAGCTGAAATACATGATCTTTATCTGAACACCTCAGTATTCATGCGTTCAACATTAACATAATACTCGTCATTGGATGTTCATCCATGAGTTTGTGTTCGCAGCAACTGTGCATGAACATAAAGAGGTTGCCATTGTCTAACAAATGAAAGATTGACACATATGCTCGTGTGTCAATCTGTGCATATTGATATGGGGATTGCAAATCAGGGTCCCTGTTTAGTATGATTTTTTGGTCAACACATTTACACATTCCAGAGCCTTGCCACCCATTGTTTAAAAAACTAGAGAAATCTGCATACTGAAACTGTGTTGGCTAAGAACGAAGGTCAAAGGTTGGTATAACCTTATAGATGTGATGGCTGTATAAAGCATCACACCTTTTACTAATGGGGATTAATAACATACTGGGGATGGGGATGGGGCTTAATAACATACTGGGGTTTGATCTTCAGTTTTATTTTCTTTGATTTAGTACTTAGAAGATAATGATCCAAATCATGAATACAGAACTTTATTATTCACCATGACAGGCAAGTTAAGCTCTACTCGTTAGTAAGCTCGAAGACCCCCTGAAATTTGTAGAAAACCCCTTGATTTTTAAAGAAACCCCCTGAAAGGTTTTTGCAGAAAACCCCCTGGAAAGTTTTTGCAGAAAACACCCTAGAAAGTTTTTTGAAGAAACTATATTCTTTTGCAGAAACCCTTGGTATTTTTGTAGAAATATCCTTAAAAGTTTTTTTTACAAAAAACACCCCTAAAAGATTTTCTGCAGAAAACCCTGGAAATTTTCTTGAAGGAAAACCAGAAAGGTTTCTTGTAGGAAACCCTCTAGAATTTTTTTTTGCTAGAAAACCCTCTGGAAAGAATTTTTGTAGAAAACCCCTAGAAAGTTTTTTACTGAAAACCCCAATGAAAGTTTTTTTCCCTAGGAAACTCCCTGGAAAGTTTTTTTATAGAAAACCCCATGAAAAGCTTTTTGCAGAAGACCTCCTGGAAAGCTTATTGTAGAAAACCCACTAGAAAGTTTTTTTGCTTAAACCCCTAGAAATATTTTTGCTGAAACCCCTTAGAAAGTTTTTTGCGGAAAACCCCTTAAAAAGTTTCTTACAACAAACCCCTGAAAAGTCTTTTTGCAAGAAACTCCCGGAGATTTTTTTTGCTGGAAACCCTAGGTGAGTTTTTTCTACAGGAAACCCTCTGGAAAGTTTTTTTTTGTAGAAAACCCTATGGAAAGTTTTTTTAAGAAAACATTTTTGCGGAAAGCTTTCTAGGGGGTTTCTTCAAAAAAACTTTGGGTGTTTTTTGCAAAAACTTTTTTGGGGAGTTTTCTGTAAAAAAATATTTCAAGGGGTGTATTCTAGAAAAAAAAATTTATGGGGTTTTCTGCCAAAAAACTCTTTTTAGAGGTTTTATGCAAAAATATTTCTAGAGGGTTTTTTGCAAAAAAATCTTTTCAGGGGTTTTCTGCAAAAAGACTATCTAGGTGGTTTTCTGCAAAAAAAACATTCCGTTGGATTTTTTAAAAAACTTTTTGGGGGATTTTCTGCAAAAACCTTTTATGTGGTTTTCTGCAAAAAATCATTCCAAGAGTTTTCTTCAAAAAAACTTTCTAGCTGGGTTCTGTAGAAAAACTTTTAGGGTGGTTTGCGCAAAAAACTTTTCTAGGAGTTTTATACAAAAAACTTTCCAGGGGGTTTTTCTAAAAAGCTTTTCAGGGGGTTTTCTAAAAAGCATTTCCAGGGGTTTTTGCAAAAAACTTTCTCGGGGGTTTTCTTAAAAATCTTTCCAGGGGCTTTCCTATAAATATTTCTCAGGGTTTTTCTGCAAAATACTTTTTGGGGTGTTTTATTAAAATTCTTTTCAGGGTGTTTTCTGCAAAAACTTTTGGGGGTTCACTTAAAACTTTTTAGGGGTTTTTGTGCATAAAAACTCTCCAGGTGGTTTTCTGAAAAGAAACTTCCTATGGGTGTTTTTTGTGTGTGTGCGCGCACTCTGTTTCTTACATCCTTGTGGGAAAAATTGGAAAATCTTCAACAAGCAACGAGGTCTTGATCCTGATTTTTATGTCACAAGATAGGTAGAAAAGCTTAAAATCCTTCAATTAAATAAACAGGAACAACTCATGGAAGAATTACTATGACATGGTCAATGTCAAATATAGAAGTATGGCAATTTAACAATTGTGTAAGAAACAAGGCCGCCTAACAGGATACACAGGCACTAGAAAGCATGGTACGGGCATTCGTACACCACTCATCTAACCCTTACTCTGTTACATTTTATTACATCACCAAAATTTGCAAAAATATTTTAGATCATATAACTGTATAAGATATCTCTAAAACACAGGAAGATAGACCTCACCTAAAAGCAAGCCCCTTGAGTCATCAAAGCTCCATGAGGTTGTCGTTGGTTAATAGCATGCATGAACATCCAGTGAAAGTATTATGCCAATGTTTCTGTGAATAGAGTGATATTCATCTTTAGAACACAGTTCCTGTTAATAGAGAGTACATTTATCTCGGTATGCATGTGTGTGTTATTTTGCTTTTGAACTTTGCTACAGTGCATTTGCAAGGTCTGTTTATCTTGTATATGAATATGCTTTGAAAGTGAATATGCCTTTTACGTGTAAAAACATGGTTCATCTTTATTAGAGCTTTATTCAACTTTGTGCTCCGTCTTCATTTTTTTTAAGATGTAGGACTGGCCATGATAGGAAATATAACAGGATAGAACTTTTTTAAGGAGTAGGATATAATGCAGTGCCGTATAAATAATGTTGTATGGTCAACTGCAGTCATGCACTATTTAATATAGCTTTAAAGATCAAATATAAAAACACAGTATAGAAAATATTCATATAAATTGGGATGATCGACTTTTGCTAATGTGACTCCTTTACTTGAGACTCACTAAGATGTGAACCCCAAATTTGATATGTTTGACAATACTCGTGTCATTATGTTGGCAAATTCCTGTTAACATAGCTTTTTATAACCTATGTCAACTGTCCTCAAAATAAAAGGGGGTCTCTTTAACCCTACCCATATGGGTACCTTCTAGCAATATTAGCTGGAGGGATACCTTAATTGTGTCTCTCTGTCGGAAGTCACCTGTCTTACCTAGACTTTTGTTGTTTGCTTTGGCAGAAGCCCTTTGTTAATTTATTTTGGTGTGCTCTTTCTCAGCTGAATCAACATTGAAGACAAGTTCTCTTTTGATCTTTCCTGTTTTGCTCTTACTGTGAACTATGATAAAGTGATTTCGAGTATGTAGGCTGTCTAAAAATCACAATAGATAGCTTATCCTCCATCAACCACCGATGATGGAAGTTACAATCTGACGACTTCCAGAAGGCTGTAATCTGAAGACTTTCGCGTAGATCGCTGAAGGTTACAATCTGACGACCTTCACGACAACTGATGGAAGCTCTACTTCAACAGCCTTCACAATCAACATCGGGAGTTACAATCTGACGACTCTCATATTCTCAAGGATCCAAGACGAAGATTACAAGACAATGATCTTTGCAACGCTATCACAAAAAAAGATTACTTGGTGATAATCTCTGCAAGGCAAGACGCGGAGGTCCTCCCCGTGTATCAACATCAAAAAACGCCAGGGTCGAACCCCGCGTCACTACATCAAAACGCTGGAGTCGGACCCGCGTTACTACAAGCTAAACGTGAGCGACCCTCGCGTTCGTAGGGGTCCAGCCAACACCGACCCCCGCGTTTCTAAGCTACAACAAACCAAAACGCGAGCGCCCCTCGCGTTCATCAATGATTCTAAGAGGCGAAGTTGGGTTCTGAACGCCAGGTTGGGCGTTTTGACTTGTTCAAACACAAGCCGAACGGCCTCAAAACCGTTATCCCACGTTCTGAGGGATTTTCGCCCACTTAGGAGCGGATTTAGAGGGCAGTTACAACCTCTAACGCCCCTATAAAAACTCAACAAACTCAACTGAGTTAGGGGTTGGATTTTTATTGGCTTGAATCGACCATTGAAGGCTGCCCTTTTTGGAGCTAAGAATTGACAGCAACAGGAGAGATCATTGGGGGAGCTTTTGAGGGGATCGGCATCATCCTCCAACGAAGATCAACTTCAACTTCAACAACAGTGAGCCTTGATCCTTGGCTTATCAACCGAACTTTCGGTTCAAATCAACTCTTTTTCAAGAGTTCAAACTCGATCAGAGTTATTAACTCATCAAGAGTTTTAAACTTGCCACGCAAGTTCTCCACAACGTCAAATCGTGAGGAGAAGACATCGTTCCAGTGAATCAAGACGTGCGGATCGTCAACGGAGAGCAAACTCGACGCGAGCATTCGAGGGAGGCACTCCATCGCCACCGTGAAGAACCCAGTTTTAAACAAAGAGGAAGAACCAATTTCGTTCTCCTCTCTTTTGTAATCAAGTTGTAACCGAGATCAAAGAAATACAAATCAAATTTTCTTTATTCTCTTCTTTGCAATTTTTACCACA